CGTAGTTGCTGCTGCAGCGTGACTCTATCGTCCTCCCTTCTTCTATGGATGGATGAAACTCGCTGTTATGAGCTGTGACCAGTGTGTTGCGGTGATAGGGCGCTGAAAGGTTCTTTTTTATGTCTCCAATCATTGTTGTATATGAGCTATGCGGTATCATGCATCCCCTGTTATGTATATTGATTTTCCTACGCTCTGACATTTGTAGATGCATCATGTGTTTTGTAGGCATTGCATCAGCGTCCTTGCAGTGCACTGCAAGGACCGCTGATTAGAGATACGATAACCCAGGCTCAACATTTACTATTCATTAGATCTAGAAACTTTTACATACAAATTGTCTTCTTAGTCGCTAGCACCGTATCCTTTTTATGCCGGGCCGGTCATCATCTTTGTTTCATTTGGCGAATTAACGGCAATTTTGTTTGCGATAAGCACTGCACTTCTCGCCATTCGTCGCAGGATCGTCACCTTTGTTTTCCCGCTGATATGTAAACGTATTTCGCTGTTCGTAATATGGTCGCTGTTCCTGGAAAATACACGGTCTATGCACCAACGTAAAATAAGTTTTTCGTTGTCTTTTTATTTTTTATATTTCTGAATAATTAAACACGCTTCCCTGCACACTTCAGAGTTCAGAGCGATTTTGTTGCGCTTTTCAAATTGTTTCGGTGCGTATGAAACTTGAGTAGGGCACTCGGGGGTGTATAGCGGCATCAGATTTTGATAAATGTTTAATATCGGGATAAATAAAAAAGAATATCAATTAAGATCTCGCCTTTGACCAAACCATCAATGGAGCATCTGCACCATCACGGCCTCGAGATCGCAAAGGTGCTGACTTGGATACCTATATCTCTACGGAGCTTGTCTGGCCTGGCCTGGGCTGACTGAGCGAGAGCCACGCTATACCCGAGAGGACTGTGCCGCCATCTACCCGCGATACGTTTAAACTTTCGGTTAAAATTATCACCGGTGGACCGGGCGCGGGTGAGTTCGGATGGTGCAGGTCGATGGTGTCATTCACAACAAGCACCAATTCGCAAATTCGCAAGTCGCAACATCGTGGCACCCGGGCCCAAAACCACCCATTCCTCCATTTGAACTAAATTTATAAAGAAAAACTTGGTTGACCTGTGATGAACTCGGTGACCTGCGCTGGTCCTTCATACCATGACCTCTCCGACCGCCGCCGGCGCCGCCCTGACGTCTCCACCCCGCCCCGCCCCCGTCGTCTCCGCAGCGCCGTACCCGCCGCCTCCGCCGCCGACAGCTGGGCGCGCCGACGGCAGGTCTCGTACCGGTCCGCTCAGCAATATCAGCGGCAGCGGCGGCCCCTACCTCTGCACTTACTGCGGGGTCGGCTTCTCCCTCAACTGGCTGCGCACGAGACACGAGAAGTGCGTGCACGAAAAGCGTAGCAGCACTATGTGTCCTATCTGCCTCAAAGTGTTCACCCGTGGCGACAACATGCGTGAACATGTGAGACGGGTGCATCAGAGGCCGGTGTGAGTCGCGAGAGGGTACGATACAATACGTGGCACGGGGTGCTGAGGAGCGAAATGGCACGTGATGTGGACATTGTGGGGACATGCGATGGGGAAACGACACGGCACACGACGTGAACGAGGGCGGCGTGGGTTCCTGAACGGCCGGGCTGAATTTCGACCGGCCAGGGCTAGTGTGTTCTGTGGTAGCGGCATTGTGAGCGCGCCATGTGGGTGGTCAACAAACATGCTGCTGATTTGTATGAAAGGTGTCATGTGTTGTGATGTGATTGCCCAGCGAGCAAAAGCAGCTCAGCGGCTTTTTATGCGGCTTAGCTGTTTTTTTTTTATGTTGTACAGGTAGCATAACTGTCGTAAGCGGCATGGCTGTATTGTAATGCCAGTGCAATGTGCATTGCTTGTAGCATTTACTTGTGAGTATTTTATGATAGTAAAGCGCTCGGTGACACGTCTTAGGAATTTCGTACTTTGTAGCCCAGCCATTCTAGGTTTCTTTAACCCTCGCCCGTAAACGGCGATCTGCCACCTTCGCCCATGCAGGGGGGGGGGGTTGGTGCGACCCCCCCCTTGGCGTTTGAAAACGGAGCGTCGTAGAGCTTAGCGGAAAAGACCAACGGATTGCTCTCGCCGAGATCTCGCGATTGGTGGTATATTTTTTGGTCCTAGGTCAATATTTGACCTACTTTTGACCGGTCAAAGGTCAAATTTTCGGAAAAATAGACTTTTTCAACTTTCGGCGGCGATTGCGGCAAAACGGTGGGAGATATCGACTTGAAACCTTCACTATCATGTTCCTTGATCAATTCTCTATCGTTTGGTATGTATTTCGTTTCCCTAGCTCTAAAAATGGCGCGTTGGGAGCGCCGGAAGTCGGCAAGGTCACAGTCGGCGGCAGAAATTCGAAAAATCAAAATGTAAATTTTTGAAATCTGAATGTATTTTTGGATTTGGGAGGTCCATTTGCTCCCTATAGAAGCTAATATTGCTGCATATTCCCATTGAGGTGACAAGAATTAGCAAAATAGTGGTTCGGGCGCTTTTCAAAAATAGTACCGGACGCTGTTCCTCTTGTGACGTCATAGCTCCGTGACCTGACCTGACCCGGTCAAGTTTCTTATACCATATGATAGCCAATACTTGCCCCAACATGCATGGGAAGTTTCATCACGATCCATCAACCGATGTCCGTACCACCGGCAGGAAACCTCGGGCGTTGGCACTCAGTTTGTGAAAATCCGGCCGGAGGCTGTTCCCTTTGTGACGTCATAACTCCGTGACCTGACATGACCCGGTCAAATTTTTTTTAGCAAAAGATGCGCAAGGTTTGCCCCATAAGGTACCCAAAATTTGGCGGCGCTGCGCGCCGCCGTTTTTGCACTATTTCCGAAAAACCTCAGGGGGGGGTTGCACCAACCCCCCCCCTACATGGGCGAGGGTTAATAGTTTTTAGGTGATGTCAAATGTTTCTCAGCGATGAGACTAGCAAACTGCCCATTAAGTTGAACCTTATGCTTTATGTATTTATGTTTGTGTCGTATCAAGCCATGCGGTACTGTGTATGAAGGTACTCTTTCTCTCGCTCTAACGGTCTTTCTCTCGATGTCTCGTTCTCTCTTTCGCTCGATTAGTTTTTCCTCCCGCTTTCAGCTTTTTATTTAAGATTATTGTTTTTTCACTAGAAAGTAATTTTCGCCAACCCGGATCTCTGTTGCACTGATTGATGCCACACAATTTTGTGGTATTTTTTATAGCTGCTTAAATTACTGCTCGTCTGATGTGTGCATTGGGTCATTATTGAATAAAACTTCTTGAGAAGTTCGCGAGTATTTTGTGAACCTAATTTAATCGGGCATTCTGCATTGACGTTAAAATCATGGGTATATTGAGAAAGATCTACTGTTGTAGACCAAAGACGAAATACACACGCTTTTTTCTAAACATTGGTCGGTTACACAGGGTGTCCACGTCAAAAGTGTATCCAGACTTTTCTCCGCAATTTATCTGAAAAACATTACACTCACAAACAATTAGGTACCCTCGTTGAGAGTCTAGGCAATGGCAAAACATTTGCTATGCTTTTCATCTGTGCTCGGCAATCTGCTGACCAGCCCGTGCCGTCTAGAGCAACTTATATGAGCCCCTTTGCGTCGGGCCACCGCCGGCAGACGGACCGTGGCATGTGAAATCCCACAATGCCCCGTGCACTGGGGATCCCACCGCCTAGAAAAAGTTCAGACCATGCCTCTGCACAGCCAGAAAGTATCGTTTTGGGTGGCAATGAGGCATGGAGGGGGCATTATCGGCCCCTTCTTTTGCGAAGACGACAGGGGAGAGACAAACACAACACCGTAACGCTAGAACGCTACGTTTCGGCGGCACTGGAACCATTCTGGCGAGAGCTGAAGCGGAGACGCAGGATCCGTCGCCATGAAGAATGGTTTCAACAGGACGGGGCGCCGCCTCGCACCGCCAAACGGTCGCTGAAATTCCTGGAGGAGCACTTTCCTGACCGCCACATCACCTTGAAAAGCGCGGTGGAATGGGCTCCCCACTCGCCCGACCTCAGCCCTCTAGATTTCTTCTTGTGCAGCTTTCTCAAGGACTGTGTGTACGCCGGCAATCCAGGGTCGACCCAGGAGCTGAAAGACGCCATCAGCGACGAGATCCGTCGTCTTCCTTCCCACATGGTTTGATCAGGCGATCACCCATCTCCAGACGGTCCGGCGGTGGCCCGACGCAAAGGGGCTCATATAGAGCAGTTGCTCTAGACGGCACGGGCTGGTCAACAGAGTGCCGAGCAAACGAGGGCAATTGTTCGTGTGATGTTTTTAAGATAAAATGTGGAGAAAAGTCTGGGTACACTTTTGACGTGGACACCCTGTATGGCTACATTATCAAGACGTTTGGCATATGCGCTGGCCGTTCTCATACATTTCGATGCTACTTTCTATATGTAAATCACTTGACTTTCCATCTAATCATTGGACACTTTGTTAAATAAGATGCCTTGAAAGACAATGAATAGTAGGTAGTAGTAGGGATTGATAAGAATTAAAACTGCCCAGGCCTCCCACATAGCATAGATACGTATGCCTAGAGCACACAATAGCATACCATGTTTTTACTCGTATTACCTACCCTCCGTAATCAATTCAAATCTCATCACTCGCAGAAGCTGAAGCTCTGGTTGATAAGTTGGTGATGAAACAAATATGTTCACTGATGGTATTACGACTAAAATGTATATACGCATTTGTGAATTAAAAGTTACCACTGTAACCAAGTACAAACATTATATATTGCGGGGTCATTTTGATAAAGTGCTTAAAGCGGTTCTGTGCTGATAATTGATAACACATTTAATTGAGACACTCCACCACCAGTCCCATCGCTGGAAGTGTTATATAAATATCTGAATTTTTGTCCATCAGAGGTCTGCTGCGCGTCCCTGACTGCAAAGTGCTCACCCCTCCCCGCCCCGTTCGTTCGCAGACCCGCTGCAGCAGAAGATTGACCGGCTGATCCAGCAAAACGAGGACGTGCTCCGGAACCTGAAGGACACCGCCGGATCCGGAAACCCGGAGCCGGACCCGGAGCAGACCTCCGGCCCGGTTCGAACCCGGCGCGCCTTCAACGAGCTCAACGAGTGGATCCACAGAGACCCCGACTACGCTAGGACGCTGGTCAGTAACGCTGGTATAAGCCCACACTACACCATGCCTTTTCCGCCATGGATTTAGGTCTATCAAGGGTCATTTTTCCGTAGAGTTAATTATATTGTATTGACAATCGCCGACACTCCACAAACACAGTAGTGGCTGTTCCGTGTCGTAAGTCACGAAGTAAAAACAATGCAATACGTAGGTACATAGATGGGCATAAAAGAAACATACGCTCACGTCATTCACCACTTTCACACAGATCCTAGGCCTGTCCCCCCCCCCCGCAGAGTCCCTATTACGCTGCGACTTAATGTAACGCTGGAAACGAGCCGGGTCAAGTTCGATGACAGCCGGTTAAGTTAAGTTCTTATGATTAAGTTAATTTCTTATGATTTTGAAAAAAATGACTCTGGTCATCTGAAGGCTTCCAAACAGCGGTGGATCGTCAGGGTGATATGTGTGTTTCCCTGGGTCTGGCCGTTGTTGTGTATATGCTATAGTATGCTAATATTATGTACTGGCACTGTATATGTGGTGCGAACTTCTTGCTACGAACTTGCCTGTTACAGTCTCAGCATTTACGCACACCTCTTCTCCATGAACTTCTCAACGTTCTCGTTACGAACCCATCAATGTTGAGGTAGATGAACCCTAATTAATTGTGTACACTACAAAGCTTTATTAATCTAATAAGACAACGATAAAGCGTATCTTATTAAATCATGAAAGCAACTGATCCTCAACCATTTACCTTACAATTCTAAAATCATCAATCATTTTTACGCTGCACGTGCGTCTGCGCCCCCAGTCGGAGGCGCTGTCTCGTGTAACGGGCGACAGTCCCCGACAGCGCGTGCGCAACATGCTGGCCAGCGTGGCCACCATACTCGTCCTGAACGACTACACGCTGCGGGGATCGTCCGGCAAGCGCTCCTTCGTCTCCACACCCATCTACAGACTCATCACTGGTGAGTGGTGGGGGGGGGGGGGGCGGGGGCGTTTTGATTGCATATTGTGACATTTTTGCGAGTTTTGCGACATGAATATGCAGCTAGCGATGCTCACGGTTCCGAGGTCTTTCGTTATACTTCGTTCTAATAACAGCAGTGGACCTATGGATACAATTGTCCATCAATGCTCAAACGTGCTTCAATTTCACCCTTCAAATCTTCGGAATTACAACGGAAGCCTCTTTCTACTCGGAGCTTTTGATCCACATCTGCAATCTCTTAGAATCTAGAGAGAAATAAAACGGAACAATTCCCCACGGTCAAATGCCCGTACTGACCTCGGCTGACCTCATCTTCTGACCTGACCTTCTGTCTGATCGTTCAGCCGCTGCCCGAGACGTCAACCGCCGGATTATCGACTCGGAGATTCACAACGTTCTGCGATACGGTACCTTCAGCCCACGAGCCATGCGATGAGCCGCATCCGCGAGCGAGTGAACACGAACTCGGCTGTATGCCGGTTGTCATGGAGATCGGCTGTCAGCGTAGACGGGGTGGATATGGACGAAGGCACCCGTCGCGGCTTATCTCGAGAAGAGTGTTTATTTGTTCAGCCCAAACGAATATCGGTTGGACGTTTAATAATGGTCATAAGGATTAGCTTGAGTTGTAGGTAGTCGTGTTCAGTTTTTGTCTACGTTCTTATTCCCACTTCTTGTGTCTCTCAGATACCCGGTGCAGTGCCCCAACCTCCCACCCTTTCACCACGTGTGACGTCAGGGTGACGTGACGTCACGCCCTACTCCAGACGCCGCCAGCCGGGCGTGGCCGTCACGCCCGCGCCGCGTGACGTGACGGCAGCACACAGAGCCGTGATAGTCTAGTGGTTAGGACCCTGCGTTGTGGCCGCAGTAACCCCGGTTCGAATCCGGGTCACGGCATCGGCAATGGTTTTGAAACCAAGATCCACGAGATCTCAGGAGGGCATCTTACGGATGAAGTGCAACTATCAACTATCTAACATCGGAACGCCGGGAGTAGCCACACCGTCCGATCCGGAAATCTCGTGCTGTAGATAATCTCGAAAGTTACCCTTGAGGGCTGCGGTTCCAAGTGATTGCTTCGGATGAAGTGTAAAAATTGGCTTAATACAGACTTGTAAAAACAACGTCTGGGTAGGTACCGATGGCATTCACAGATAAATCGTCTCAAAATCCCAACTCATCGTACAAATAAGCCCCCGTGCAACATTATTCAGGGCGAATGTTATCTCACCATACCGTATTTTCCTGAGCTCTAACTAAGAGTTCCCTGCATATCCACTGGCCTGAACGGTCCCTCCTGCAATATCCCGGGCTCTGCAGTCTCCCGGTCTGCGCGGGATCGTCCCTGTTTGGCTGTGTGCCGCCGCCCTTTGGAGCCCCAATGACGCCGAAGATTTCATGTGCTAGGATGCGACACAACTGCCTTCGACGTGCCACAACTAGCACTGGCCATTTAATGTTCGATTTGGCGAGATGTAATTGTGTTACGGCGCGTAACCTTTGGCTATGTATAAATGTAAAACTAGTCACTAAGGGGTCGATTTGTGTGTGGCAGCCGCTGCCTTAACCCTATTCCTGGCGGGCTCCGCCGGGACAAGAAACTGGCGGGGGGGCCGATTCGGCCCCCCCTTCAGATCTCAAAAACTACACATCGCAGCGACAAACGGCGAACGGCGTATGATAGGTCGTTTAAAGATCTACAACTTTTACATAAAACATTTTCAGGTCAGGTCAATATTGAGGTCACCAGAGGGCATCAACGATAAAATGTTTTGGAATTAGTTACCTATATAACTTTTAAACTAAGAAACATAGAGCCATAAAACCAATACATTTTTTGTTGCTCTCGCCGAGGCGATGCGAAATAAGTATGTGATGACCTTCACAGGTCAATTTAAAATTTGACCTGAGGTCAAGGTCAGGTCATTCATCAATGAGGTTGTGGGGTATGGTCATGCTGCATACCAAACGACGCGCCTTGACCAGGCGAGCAGTTTGGTACCACTTACAAGTCTTTAGCACCATCATGTCGTGATTTATTGACAGAAAAACGATTTATGACGTCACATGACATCAGATGACCTTTGCCGGTGCCCCTGTCAATTAGCGGCACCAGGATCATCACTGATGAGATAATCTTCCATAATACTGAAAGAACTGGGTGGTTTTGACTCGTTTACACGAAGCAGGAGGCGTTTCAGTATTTTCCCATAGGCTTGCAATGTAAAGGTCACGAGTCTGGCCTGACCTCAGGTCACAGATATGAAAATTCTGAGATATACAAATTGCACATACTGGTACCCTAACTAAAGCCTGAAGAGAAGAAATTGATCGGTCAAAAACTCTAGCTCTGGCGTGATTGCAAACTTTTCTGAGGTAGGGTCACCAAACCGCCTCTGGTAACCTGACCTGAGGTCAGATCAACTCAAAATTTTCAGAAATGTTGCGTAAAAGCCTTTTAGAAAAAGTCAGAAAATTTGAGCTTCCTAGCTCAAAGCGTTTGGGAGATATAACCAAAAAACCTCAGGGGGGGGGCTCCTGAGGCCCCCCCCCGCCAGGAATAGGGTTATGAGTCCGATGGTCACCAGTGCTTAGCTCAGTGCTTACTTTTGTATGTAATTAGTGTGCTTTAAGCAAAGTAATGCGACCTGAAGATGAGGCTGCATTGGCACTGTGGAATGTGGATAAGCATTTGAGTTTTTTTTTTGTACATAAGTTCATGTCTGTGTGTAGAAGAACGTATGTATTATTTGAACAGAACATTTGGTACACATTGCAAAACGTTACGTGTCAGGTGTAAATTAAACCCAGTTCTGCTGATGAATACATCTTTTCCGTTTAGTTCTTGCATCGTATGTGATACCTAACAAGGATTTATGGATTCAAGTCTGTGTTTTGAAAGCTATACTTATTGTTGATTTATTCTTTTCTTACGCTTATTTCATGATATATTTCCGAAACTGCGTAGGATAGAGTGAAAAATTAGTTCATCGAAAATAAAATACGTTAAACGAATGTAAACTTGCTTACTACCACAAAATCTGCCTAAGAATAAAATAGCACGGGCATTGTTGCCAGCTTTTTCGCAAGTTTCGTTTTTACTTACATGAAAAGAAATCGTCCATATTTCAACCTTTTATTTGACATTGTAATTATGTCACTTTTGCCGCCTCGTCCTTATTTACAACTTAATTATGTCGAAGTCGTTTTTCACAACACACGCAGATACGACCATCGATAACACACATACACACATGTAGCCAGACACACAACCCTAACGTGGAGCGCAAACACGCACCAAACACATATTGCACTTTTCACCTCTTCCAGAGTTTTTGGCGAGCACTTTGCGTGATCTAGCATGGCCTCACATGCCACTCACCACGGTAATATCGACTGATGGCTTTGACCAGTGTAACCCCACTCTGAGCACCAGTTCGCCCCGGCAGTGGTTTCCTTACAACCCATTCCAGACTCTCCGGTTCCTGGGGCGGGACTTGTTCCGCAGTTTCCCGTCTCTGTTTCGGTGCCTCCCCCGCCTTCTCCTTCTCCTCCTTCTCCTCCGCCGCGTGGGGATGACGTTAGAGTCTGAGTCGACGAGGCCCATGACGCTGCTGCCGACGCCGCCGACGATGTCGATGTTAGCCAGGGTGGCGTACAGTGATCCGATGCCGGCGGGCCGCTGCGGCCGACAGCGGGGGTTGAACCGGAGCCGGGCTGAGCGGCCAGAGGTCAAAGGCAGGTCCTCGCCGCAGAACACGAACCTGCGGGACAAATACCGATATCTGGTGTAAGATTGGGGACAACAGACATACGAAAGGTCAGGGTATTAGAGATACTTATACATAGAGTGGCTCTATGTGAAAAGGAATAGAGTAGTAACTACATTTAAGCAGGTGATAGGTTACTAAAAAAGCAATTATTCATCTGTCTGACAAGTGATTTCATGTGTCATTTAGGTAACATTTCAAAGATAAACTACGACTTAGTATTTTCTTGTCGTACACCTATTCTAAAAGAGCCGTTTCCTGTCGGTCGTCATCTACCGAATCCCGTCACCATCCGGCCCGATTCACCTTTTCCTTCCCCGATCCCGTCCAACTCACCGTTCCCGGGTCTCCATGTGCACGGCCACCACTCGGTTGACGTGTATCATGGGCCGCGAGAGCAGCCTCCAAGTCAGCGGGTTCAGTAGGAACGACGAGTGAGACCACTCGAGGTCAATGGCCAGCGGCGGGCCCGTCAGCGACACGGCACTCACGTGCACGTACTTCTGACCCGGCTCGAAATACTGGTCACTGCAACACGGCAAACAGAAAACGGAGGGTAGGGCAGTGGTCAGTTTCTAGGAATTACTTAGCGACATTTGTTAGGGATAAGGGAGGCATATTAGATCTTCATTTTTCGAAAGTGATACGAGCTCTGCAGAGAATGGAAACAAATGAAATTCAGTAGACGCCAACTCTACAACGATAATATATCTATTACGGTACCTTTTTTGCAGAGCATATTTGTCGTTACGCTCTTCACCAAGCCTCGAGGGTTCTGTCTGTCTGTCTGTGTATTTAGTATTGCCTCTCGGGCCTCATGTGTCCTGGGCCTAATCTTACCAAATGCCGTGAATGCGCATTCACGGCATTTGGGAACATTCACAACTATTCCACATTCACTTATTCATTCGTTCAGGCAACATTCATAATCATTCACGCTATTAAAATCATTGGACAAGATAAGCTGGATGTAAATAAAAAGGATATATTAGTTATCAATGCCGTAAACTCCGGCCAGTGCTGCCAAATCCTATTTACGGCATTGGTAAGATTGGGCCCTGGAGCCGGTGTATTTTATTTCCCCCTCTTATCCCCAAACCGGTGTACATATTTTATTTCCCTCACCTATCCCCAAGCCGGTGCCAGTCGGTGACGTTGCTGGCGCTGTGGAAGCGCAGTTTGAAGGCGCCCATGTCTCCTCCGTGACGGACGGCGGCCGCCACATCGGACAGGAACACCGTCACCCGGTAGTGGCGCCCTGCAGTGACGGGACAGAGGTCACAGAGGTGTCTAGCCGAGCTCACCAATATCAGTTTTCCAAGTATTAAACACAGCACTAATTTGGTACCGTGGGATTGGAACAAATAATTCACTTGTCTGATCATAACGGCTAACATCTCAAGCAGGGATGCGGAGCCGGAGCCGGAGTCGGAGCCGGAGCCGCCGGAGCCGGCATATTTTGCCCGGAGCCGGAGCCGGAGCCGGAGCCGTGAAACAATATAGCCCGGAGCCGGAGCCGGAGCCGGAGCCGCCAAAAAAGGGGGCGACTCCGGCTCCTTTTTATTTTTTGAAGAGGAAAAAAAATAATTGACCTAGTTCGGTTTGACAGTACAAGGCAAAACATATGGTACTTACGTCATGGGCCATCAAATGAATGAAAAAATCCGAATATCCCCAGTATCCCACAGTACGCAAACAACTTCCTGTTTGCTCTCCCCCCCCCACGTCTACTGCATCCCCAGAACATGAGGACCAGTCATCAGGTGACGGCCATTGTTTTCAAACCAGTGCAGTGGACTGCGACTCCCAGCACTAGAGGTGGCAAAAGATGAAAATTTTGGGAACCAGACTCGAACCAGACCCGACTGGACATTTCTGGAACCAGTCGGACCCGGTCTTAGTTGGAATCGGAACCAGTTGGACCCGTTCCCCATGCAAACTACTTGTAGGTATCATCAGTTGGATCATATAAAACAGCCTATTTCCCACTGGGAATATTCGTGAGCTACTGTGTGCAAAGAAACATTCACTTAATTCACTTCATATTTTGCAATAATGTGTAGTGTGCATTGTGCAAGATGTAGTATAGTTTATGGTAGGACCCGGTTGGACCCGTCATAAAATTTCCAGGAACCGGTCTGGACCCATATGGGTCCAGACTGGTTCTTTGGACCGGGTCCTCGGGTCCACATTTTGCCACCTCTACCCAGCACCGTCTCATCCCACACACCCCCCACCCCTCACCCCCCAATGCAGCCGAGACGGGTGTCAGCTTACGATGGTTCACTGAACTCCGATTCGCGGCGACTGCGTTTCCAATGCCATCGCTTCCTAGCCCTTTGTTCTGCCAGTTCTCTCCGAGGTGCGTTTGCGCGGGGACGCGGTGAGCCGGTCATGGCAAAGAGTAACGCGTATAACCAATCCAATTTTTCTTCCACCCGTATTTAATTGATTGCGTAGGGGATGTACTGAGTCGGAGCCGGAGCCGCCGGAGCCGGAGCCGCCGGAGCCGGACCATTTTACTCGGAGCCGGAGCCGGAGCCGGAGCCGCCATAACATTTCACCCGGAGCCGGAGCCGGAGCCGGAGCCGATTTTTTTCTCCGGAGCCGGAGCCGGAGCCGGAGCCGTCTGAAATTTCCACGGCTCCGCATCCCTGATCTCAAGGCTTGAATGCAAACAGGGTCACTGGAAAGATAAGGCCTGCATGGGGCGAGTGCAACACAAGGCACTTACAACAGCAGGCAACTCAGGCAAGTGCGCTACGGGCACTGACGGTTGGAGTTGAGTCATTGCAGTAGTAAGCCAAGCGGACTTCGGAGGGGCATTATGAAAGTTCTCTAAATTGCCCCCTCATAATGCCTCTCCTTCAGCCAACCGTCTACTCACGGCAGAAGGGCACGTCGTTTCCGGTCAGCAGGTAGAAGGTGCGCGCGCCCAGCGGTCGGCCCAGCAGGTCGACCCTCTCGCGGTTCAGCAGCCGCATGCGGGCGCGGTCCACTGAGGTCAGATTGGCGTCTGCGTGGTACCCCAGTCGGTGGCAGTTGCTGAGTTTTGGAGAGCACAGGCCGCACTCGCCCGCAGCAAACTGCTCGTAACTGTCGAGATTGGATGAGACAGATGGGATATTATTTGGACGGCTCAGCTGCAGTAGCGTGCAGCGACAGCAGCAGGGTACTAAATCATAAATTACAGTTTATAGTGGACATACGAGTAGAGCAAACGTGCTAAAAAGAGCTAAATCACACACTTCCAAGCGTTTGGCTACACATGTCGTAAATGGACCTCTATTTTGCATCGACTTTACGAGTACAGGTTCCGGAGAAAAGGGTAATGAACGGAGCACTCAATGATATTCTAGTCACTTTTTCCTCATAACCATGGCAGGTACCAAATATGTAAGCATCTACTGTCACCACTGACAATTGCCTACGACACTCAAATGACTGCAGGGCACTCCACCGGCACCCACCTGTTACACTCGATGGCCAGGAACGGACAGTCGCTGTTGATGGACTCGGTGAAAAACTCGTACGCTCGGAGGTGGTTACAGCCGATGAACCGTCTCAAACCTGCCAACGGTGCGCAAAATAACGAATTAATGACAACTTATTTATGACAAAAACGTACGTAAATGACTCTACGAGAACGTTGAACCTTCCAGGTTACAGTTGAATTACATTCAACTGTGCGGCTCCAGTGGCGCAGTTGGTAAGGCGTCGGTTCTGTGGTCGGGAGGACCCGGGTTCGATCCCCGGTGCCGCCCGGCTTCCGGACTGGCGTCCCCAACTGTGTCACTGGGGGGTGGGGTGGGCTCCCGCCTTGCACCGTAGCCCTGAGGAGGAGCAGGAGCCCTCCCATAAATGGGAAAACATATCCCGTGTGGAGGACGAGGAATAAATAAAAAAAAAATTCATTCAAGATAAAAGAAAAAAGACAAAATAAGCGTAGTGCATGTATGTGCAAACAGAAATAAGCGCGGGTAATGATAATATCAACAAAAGATGTGAAGCTTCATCTCACCGTATATGAGGCTTCCCTCTTCCTTTTTGATGGCGTCTAGGACGCTGGTTCCACAACCCGGCTGCTTCTTTCCACCGTTTGGGAAGAAGTCCATGTGACCAATGGGCTGGTGCAGCCCCAGTCCTGTCGCAAAACGGAATGTCGATGTTCTTCTCATCAACATAATATGCACGAACACATCCCTCAAGGAGCTCTGTAACGCATTTAAAACTTCATATTAGCCCGCTTTAGGACGTTTTTATATGTTTAATTTACATGAGTAGTTGAAGCTTTTTGCCGAAACTGATTTTAGTAAAACGTGACGGTTACCGTCTATTCGTTTCAGAATTGATCCGTTTAGTAGCAATCCTACGAGCGTGAACATCCATTATATTTACACAATCCATGAGTAGATGTGCGAATGTCGAGAATCGGTAAATGATAAAAAAAACGTACACACATTTTATTCACACATAGCCCCCTACCTCCGGAAAAGAGCGGCCCACTATCGGTGTGTATGACGTCCACGAAGTCGGCGTCGGTCGGGTTCAGTCGTACCACAGGGTCCGTGTTCTCAAAGTGCGGCTCGGCAGGGTCCAGGCCCGTGATCCGCCCCAGCCTCATGCTGGTCTTGTGGAGGAAGTCGCCAACGTATCCGGCCAGGTGGGCCCCCAGACTGTGGCCGATGACGTGCATCTGATTGGACGGCGTGCCGTGCAGCTTCTGAGGTCACAGATATGATCGACCACTTTAAAATTAGATGCAGTATACTGCGGTTTTAAAACATTATTAATGACATGATCATCAAAAGACAATAGACACATCTTTGTCAATTCTAAATGCACCGTCTAATTCGCTCAAAGTTCGGTGCTCACCATCACTTTTAATTCACCTCGGTACGTCAAAATCATAATACTCACGTGTAATATCTGTATGAATCGTCCGACGATGGCTCCGACTAGTCGGATGTTGGCCACGGCCTGTGTGTAGGGCGGTCCGGAGCCGCCCACCCAGTCTACAACCAGCACGTTCATCGGCTGGTGGTCCAGCAGCGCCGCCACCATTCTCTGTCGGCGGCAGACGGGGTCACCGTCAGGGCAAGGTCATGGTACTGGGTCAGGGTCGGGTGAACGGATAAGGGGCTGGTTCATTATTCTCTATCGGTGGTAGCAACGGGGTCAGCGTCAGCGTCAAGGATATCGTCCCAGCTAAGCTAGCTAAGCAGCTAGGCATCATTCAGCATGGCTCTTCATATCATCCGGCAGGAGATGTCGAACTTTGCCCGGCATATTGACGAGAGTTGCGCCCGTGCAGTGATCCAATAAATGCGCTATGTTTCTATAGCACCGTGTGACCGGATATATCGAAGTATGTAGCTCAGTTAATTGAAACCTAGACCGCGTAGGACGTTTAAATCAAGCTGCTTCTGATGAGTTATTGATATGAAAACTATTCCTTTCCATTTTCTTCGCTCACTCAACCACGAAGTTGGTGAGAACTGTGATTTGTGAAGCGTAAAAAGCTTCTGGGAATCAATTTAAGTGAGATTTTAATGCTTCAAGTATAAACTGATTTCCATCTAGGTTTGGCCTCTCAATTTTTTTTTTTTACTGTCGCGGGCGACCTGTAGCTTAATTTCCGGGTCCGATCAATTTGTCTTCTATTTTCTCGAATTTCGTTCCGGACACCTGAGGCGGCGTCTGGGTTCACCAGCTATTGGATGGAAGACCGTGTGCTCGCATGCCTCGCTCCAAGCCCTCGGGCGCGGTCAGGCCCGCGCAGCTAGCTGGTTGGCTCGGCCAGTCCGGCGCGAACGACCGGGGCCAGGTTCGCGGTGGGCGGGATTGAAACGGCCGGCTCAGTGCAGTTGGGTGTTGTGGTGATCTAGAGCTTCCTTGTGAAGCGATGCGTTTCTCCTTCCATCCTTGCGAGCGTCTGACCATACATTTGTGGCACCATGGCAAGACTCATCACTGGCGGTTTGCTGACTTCCCCGGGCATTTTTCTGTTCCGGTTGCGCGCCATAATCGGTGGAAAACGTCTCGTCTACACTCTCCTCAGACGCCCTAGACCAGGCAAGACCAGGTAAGTGTGTCGCGCTACTCGAGTCTTGTCGCTCTGTCACAATGGACGTTATTCACTCGTTAAATCGCTCTGTTGCTGTATACCGCCGGTCAACACTGGTGCCCGGGTATACACACTGGCGATCGTTTGGCTCGCCTGACCGGGGCTCGCCGGTGCTCGACCCCTATCACGGTCACGTGCCAATTTTTATGAGTTAATAGACACTTTGGGGCTAATACATATGTTTATTGAATTATTTGATGCAATGTCGTGAAGCAGGTGTTGGCTTATGACTGGTATTGGACTAATGATAATGATAGGACTAATAATTGGGCTTATAATGCCATGCACTGACTGCACCAGACTGAGTGACTAACTAACTGACCGACTGATTGACTGACACAGTCTGCTTCATCAGAGTGTGTAAATCGTTGGCGTCTGATGCACGTCGTCGAACCGATGATGGCATACAAATATGCATACCTACTGATGTATTTAAGCAGTACGCCTTCCAGCTACTATCCATACATTTATCGGTTAAATTAAGTGCATGATCTTACCTTGATCCAGCGCTTTTCTCCCGAGTCCAAGTAGCCGTGCACTATGAACTTGACAGGCGCGTCAGCCATGAATGACGACGACTGAATGGATTCGATGTCATGGTCGTACATCCGCTGAAACATGATTGCAGCTGTAAGCATTTCATCCTATTTCAATTGCTAGGGTGATGCATGATACGGTGACGTATTGCCGTGCTGTATGATATCATTTGTTGGAATGCGGTGTCATATGTCGATATTGATTGGTTGATCGATTGATTGAAGAGAGAGAGAGAGAGAGAGAGAGAGAGAGAGAGAGAGAGAGAGAGAGAGAGAGAGGGAGAGAGAGATGGAGAGAGAGAGAGAGAGAGAGAGAGAGAGAGAGAGAGAGAGAGAGAGAGAGAGAGAGAGAGAGAGAGAGAGAGAGAGAGAGAGAGAGAGAGAGAGAGAGAGAGAGAGAGAGAGAGAGGAGAGAGAGAGAGAGAGAGAGAGAGAGAGAGAGAGATCATTGAATCTTTCGAAACACAACATATCGAAGCACCAAGCAAATGAAACAAGAGCTGCGCACGGAGTTTAAATATATCTCCGTATATGAAACGTTCACGCCTTATTTGTTTCACCACTCTGTACCTCACACGGAGTTACAGTGAGGAGATGCAGTAACTCACCTGACATTCTGTCGGGTTCTCGGGCGTGAACAGACAGAATTTGACGTTGAGCGTCTTCGGAGACTGGGGTAGCACACTGATGGGTCGCGACAGTGAGATCCATTCATTTGTGATGGCGAAACAGCCGTACACGCCGTAGCATTGCTTGATCAGGGCTGGAATAGATACATGCAGTCATATTACCCTTTACTTTCAGGAGACTCTGTGGGACATTCGGAGCTTGATGCATAACTGGCGAGTGGAAGCGTCGTGCCCGTGCTCCCCAGCCTGTGCTGTGGAGTGTGGTCTGTGGTTCCGCTCGCGCTGCTATCAATTTGTGCTCTCGACTTTCGAAGTCGCCGATCTGCGGTATCGATGTCGCCGACCGGAGGTTCCAGCATCGGCTTTTAGCCTCATCACTGGCAGTGTTTTTTTCTGTAACTGACCTGATTGTGGTCTCAATATCCGTGATCTATGATTTTATGACCATCCATTATCCATGGTGTGGTAGTCATCGACCTGCAGTTCAATTACAACTGATGCCCCCCCCCCCCCCCCATTGACTTCTGTGATGTCCCGCCACTGACCTATGTCCTTTTGGTGCCCCGGCACTACCCTAATGTCTCTCACCACCGACCTGCGCACCCTCCACTGACCTCTACCCCTCCCCACTGACTCCTGGTCTCCCCGGCACTAACCTGTCGTCTCGTTGTCGCCGAGCTGAATGCTGCGCGGCACCGCCCTCAGGAACAGCTGCCCTCTGCTCAGGGTGATTGTGAATAGGGTGATGCCGTACACCAGCAGCAGACTGGAAATGCCTGCCGCCACCATTGGTGCCAGCACCGCCTGCAAACACACAGTCACACAGAGTTACACCAGCAGCAGACTCGAAATGCCTGCCGCCACCATTGCAATGCTGGCGACAGTCACCAATGCAATGGTGACAGCACCGCCTGAAAAATACACACAGTCACAGTCACACAAACACATCATCATATTATTCGCTTCATGAAGGCCACATGGCATGTAGTGGTATGGTGCACCCTTGTGCACTGCACACCTTTCTTATGGCGCTTCTTGCAGAGCACGCTTTTTTGTGGCAATCCCTACAGTGTACGTACAAGTCAGATTGACTGCAGATGCGGCGGTCTTCAACGGCAATACTTTGATCAAACTGCATTCGTGCGAATTCCTTCCCTTTTTCAATGTTATGCTACCATTGACATGCATGAGATCAGAATCAGATGAGCATTGAGCAGCGATATAACATAACTGTATAAGATAATTTTGTACGCTATAACGATTCACTTTAATCGTAAGGTGTCATAGCCCAGCTCGAACTGCCTCAAGGCTCGCTATATTTGCTCCCTAAGGCGAGACGTCATGTTATCATGGGCAGTAGTCACATCAATGGCTGGCGAAATCACATACCGAGGCGAAATCACATACCGTGACCGCCTCAGTATGCGGACAATGGACAGTTGCAACTGTCCATTGTCCAACTTATGGGAACACGCTAACCGTTCAGCATTTAACCCGCGCGGGGCTGGGGTCTCCAGCCGAACGCGCGGGGCTGGGGGGGGGGGGGGGTAAATTTTACCCCCCCCCCCCCTGTTATCTCCCGAACTAATGGTCCGATTTGGAAAATTCGAACGCCAATCGAAAGATCTCATCACGAACAACTAAAAACATGTACTTAATTTAAAGTTTGAGGTCAAGGTCAAGGTCAGGTCAAGGGTAAAAATTGCAAGTTTCTACAGTATCGGCCTTGCACCGTAGTTGCCGAAGAATGGAGTCATGGACTGAGACTGATTGCCCAAAACGTGTTCTTAGGCTACCAAGACAATATTCGTTGCCTGCAATATCATTCAGAGGTCAAGGTCAAGGTCAGGTCAGGTCAGGTCACCAAAAACAAAATATAGAAAAGGGCACGTGCGACACATGTTTTATGGGTCATTTTACTCATAAAATTCAATAGGCACACTCAATAAGTGATATGGACCACCTCTGGATGAATTTCAGGTCGAGGTCAGGTCAAGGTCAGGTCAAGTGAGGTCAAATTTTGAAGTTGGTTGGTAAGGCCTAACAAGGTGTGTATCTGATGCAGTTTTTCACGGCGAATCGAATGGTGCTATTTTTGTTTCCGTACGAGGTCTAGAACTTCCAAAAAAAATCATTTTTTCAAATTTTTTGTGTGTCGTGACGTCATAAAAGTTTGAATAACTCCCACATTTCTGAACTGATTCTTCTAAAAATTGGTATGTAGGTGCACATAGACCACTTCTCTGACATATATTCCGGTTTTTTCGATACACTCAAAATTTTGGATTTTATAACTATTTTCCCAAAAAAGTCAGTTTTTTGAAGAAAAAAAATTTGGGCCAAAATCCAACATTTTCAAAAACCGAGATAGCCATTTGATAGACAAAGTAAAAAGATGTATAACCTTTTTTGTTACGTCTTGATTCCTTTAAAAATGAAGATGTTAGCGGCGTTTGAAATTTTGCCGTTTTTGAGGCGAAAATGGCGAACATGACGTCACTAAAACGTCAATTTCTCAAAAAAATTTCCGACGGATTTCGCTAAAATTTTCGGGGAACGTGTCAAATTGATGTAAGAAAAGGTACTGAAAGTTTGGCGCCTGCAAAAATTCGCGAGGGGGGGGGGGTAAAATTTACCCCCCCCCCCAGCCCGCGCGGGTTAAGTTTATCGCACAGTTATGGGCGCTGGAAATTCCCTGGTTATGCGGTAGGCATTAGCAAGAAACTTTGTTTGGGACTATTTTGGCTGATTCAAATCCACCCGTCAAAAATGAATTAACCAAACTAATAAAACGTATTTTGCCTACTTTTTTTTTGTTACTGTGGCTAGCTTTATGTTGACGATATCAGTAAAAAAGTCAAAGATACCAGTAAAAAAGCCGATCAGCAGAGATCTTCGGTAAACATTTTATTAGCTTGACAACGATAGAAGACGTAATGATTTAACCACAATTTGTTATAAATAGGGGAGAGCGGGGTCAAATGTAACACGGGGCAATTGTAACAGTGTTAATAATTCATAAACTTACCAATAGAATGCGCTAATGTTAAGACCGAAAATGCGTAATTCTATACTGCCTTTCCCAACGGAGTTTGAAGCGAAAGTGCCGGGTATGTCGATGGCTGTGCACAGTAATGTGTTTTTGAGTGCATTTTATAAATTTTTATACCGTTATATTTGATTAGCTCATTTCCGCCATTGAAAAGATATCGACTTCAGACTTTGTGTAAGCGTTGCCAGGCTTGTTGTCCATAAATTGAAAGCATTAAATGCTGTACATGCAACATCTTTATGCGCCAGTTTCGTCTAAAATATGTCAAGGCGCGACGGGGACAATTGTAACATTTTTGCAGGGGTCAAATATAACAGGCTATAGGTCAGTGGCCATTATGTCAAAGTCGTCAAATTTTCAAGGGAGATGAAACATTGCTAGAATTAAGAGAGCTGTAAGTTTTGTCGCAATCGGCAGCTTTTTACGCGATTTAGGCTGGAGACTTCCACACGCGGGTAAGTCGCGTGTAAGTGGTTTGCGGGTAAGTTGGCGTTTATCTCGCGTTTAAGTCGGCGGGTAACTTTGCCCGGAGACTTCCATCTGCGGGTAAATAGTTTGTTTGCTAAGTTAGCGAACGAACTTACACGCGAGCCACCCCATGTATTAAGTTCGCGGGTATCTTTTCGGTGGTGCTTTTTTTGGTCCTTAGGGGGTTTCAAAAGTTTATTTCTGTGCAAATTTTATGTGCAAGTGATAGACAATAGTGCAATAATCTAGTTCTGGCTTTTTCAGCCAGTTAGGCCTAGCCGTTCGGCTGCTAAGATTAGACGAATTTGAGGTCACCTTTTCATAGTACTGAGGCCAGTTTTACCAACAGAAAAATAGGCAATAGCCGCCTGGCGGAATTTTTCGCCTAAAGGCTGATTCACATACGGATCGAGAGCGGTAAAGCCCTATCCGCTTACGTGCTTATCGCGTTTACACTCCGTATGTGAAACGGTCTTTAGGCAAAAAATTCCGCCAGGTGGCTATTTTTCTGTTGGTTAAACTGGCCTCTGTGCTTGTTGAGGGGTTACAAATTACGTATTTCATCACTGCAAGTATCCAGATGTTTTCAACAAGTCATACATGAGTAATCAGAGCAATATTTGAGTTGACAGAATTGAGGATGTAGGACTCAAATTTTCAAATACGGAGGGATTAGTCTATTTCCATCGCGCCTATCTCCTTGCCACCAGCTGCTATTTCGTAATCTTCGGGATAGTCAGATGGGATTCGTATCGCATCCGAAATAATGTGATCGTCGAGCCAGCCGGCTAGTGTCGGGCCCCTGTCGTCGCCCTTCGCGTTACGTGTCAGTGGGGCGAGGACCAGCTCAGTGGAAGCAATACGAGTGTCCGGTCAACAACCATGGACAGGAAGAAGAGGAGCAGAAATTTCAGTAGTAATGACATGCATTTGTTAGCCGATGTCATGAAAACTGAAGTAAAAGTCATCGAAAATAAGCGACACGATGGAAGGAGTAATGAAGAACGAAAACGGTCTTGGAAGAACATTGTTACGGCCTGTAATGCAAGGTCAGAAGAAAAATGGGACTAGAAACAGCTGACACAGCTCTGGAGAGATATGAAAAGGACGGCCAAAAAGAACCATTAGCGGTTTAAACGGCAGCAAATGGGCACTGGTGGTGGACCGGATCCTGCGCAGTTGGAACGTCAGCCACCCCCGCGACACGCACATATTAAACTGATCACTCGGTGATAATTGTTCTTTGTGTGGCATTTAATTGGACACCGACGACGCCTCACCGGTGAAGTGACGGGGCGGGGGTGAGGACGGGGGGTGACGGAGACGAACCGACGAGGGCAGACGAGTAATATGAGATACGGCTATTGCAAGATCATGCAGTAGACTGGCGGTCGGCCATACAGAGTGAAATAACACAAGGCGATTAGCATTATTGATGCTGATTGGCACGGCTTCAAACGCTGTTCTGGTTAGGTTAATGCATCACCACATCCCATTGTTACGGCTGTACTCATTGCATGTGTAAAAACGCTGATTGGGGGCCACCGGTCCCATAAATAACGGAATTACGCACTTGTTCATTGGACCAGCTGATCGCCGCATCCCGATCAGCTGATCGGGAAGCCCTTTAACCCTCGCCCCGTTGGGGGGGGGGGGCATTTTGGCCCCCCCTGTGGTTTTTCCTGAATAGCAAGAAAACGGCGGCGCGCAGCGCCGCCAAATTTTCAGTACCTTCCCGGGCATCAATTTGACACCTTCACACCAAATTTCAAGTCTTAGGTCACCTTAGGTCAGGAGTTATTGAGGTCAAACTGAGGTCATGTTCGAGCAAAAATGGGCAAAAAACATGCAATCTTGAAACGCTCACCAAATCTACAGTTATCAAGCAATTTCAAAGTTCTTTATATGGTCTAGTAGACAAAAAGCGGCGCTGCAAAACTGCTATCTCGGATTTTCAAAATTTTTGGTTTTTGACCAAAAAAAATTCAAAAAATTGATTTTTTTAGAAAAACTTTGAAAAAATCCAAAAATTTTCCGAATTTCGAAAAAACCGGAATATATGTGATAGTGCCAGCGCTCTTCTATATACATACCAAATTTCAGAATGATATCTCGTTTTTTGGCCAAGTTATAGCGAAAAAACTGTTCAAAAATGATGACGTCAAATTTTTGAACTCAATTTTTAGCAATTCTAGACCACTTACGGCAAAACAAAGACCACCATTGAACTCCCCGTGACGAGCTGCATCGATTCGATACCCATTTTATGCAAAAATATTAACTTTGAAATTTGACCTAATTTGACCTGACCTTGACCTGACCTTGACCTGACCTTGACCAAAACGTGATCTAAGCTGGCCCCAAAGGCTGCCTGACCCATATAATCGCATTTTTCATGTAAAATGGACCATAAAACATGTATCACACGACACTTTCATATTGTGACCCCCCCGTGACCTGACCTCTGTGACCTGACCTGGTATCAGTGACCTCAAATAGCAAAATATGTGTTTGAAGAACATTTCCCCATCGATGATTTTCAATGAAATGCATTTTACTCGATTTTACAACGCATTTCTTGAAGTGCCTGTAAACGGTGAAAATTGGACCTTTGACCTGACCTGTGACGTCATCGGTTTGACCTAGGTCAATAAAATTGGGTCACAAGGTAGTTCCCCGTTGGGGCTATCCAACGCCGTTTACCGCTTGTCGCTATGTTGCGTGGTTCTCGAGATCTTAGGGGGGGGGGCCAAAATGGCCCCCCCCCAACCGGGCGCGTTGCTCGGCAGAGCCCAACGGGGCGCGGGTTAAACTGGCGTGTAAGTCGGCATTTAAATACTTACACGCGTGTAGCTACCCACCAGTTAACCGCGGATGGAGGTCCCCGGGTAAAAGTTGGTGGGCAGCTACACGCGTGTAAGGAAGTTAGCCACCAAAATAAACGCGAGTTAACCGCAAACTGGAAGTCTCCAGCCTTATTTGCGAAAAACCGAGGGAGAGGAGGTCCATCCAACCCCTGTATAAGTGCGAGGTTTTTAAGCCTTTTTTCCTGAGAAGAACCGTCTCTAACAAGTGTGGGAAGATGAACAAGTGTTCAATACTTTTGTTAAATCAAAGTTTTGGGAAAAATTGTGTTGCTGTAGCCTGTAAATTAGCATGTTACAATTGTCCCCGGGTGGTGTTACTTTTGACCCCGTATCTGGGGTGAATTGTAACAGATGAATTGACTTTTTCGGACAACAATTTGACCCAAAAAATAAGTTATTTCGGAAATGTTTAACAGCATTTTAAAGACAAAACATCATAGTTTCTGAAAATAAAAGAAAAAGTTTTATAACTGCAAACGTGTTTGCACCAGATGATAAAATGCAAAAAATGTTACAATTAACCCCGTTCTCCCCCTACCTACCTACAAATAATTAACAAATAACAAGGGCTTTATTCACACACCACCTGCGTCGCAGAGATTCCTCAGCACTGACGTTGCACGGCACACATACCACACTGCCTCCAGCTGCTGTGGATCTGTTTACGTCGCCCTCCAGTGGCGATTGATTTGACCTTGTCGTTATTGGCGGGTGGTGTAACGCCCTCTCGGCTCTGTGGCGTGATATACCCGCTGAATGGCGCCGCCCGGCCCGGTTCCTCGTGGTGACCTCTCTCTGAGGTCGAGAGGCCTGCCCTGTTACCGGGGACTGTCTGATCAGAACGTTCCGGTGGCCTCGCTGGTGGTCGGTTTATCGCGAATTGGCAGACTGGGAGCTGGTTGTTGATAAAACTAATGCTAACGTTCGTCGTAAACAGGCGTGATTCAGCGTGCTTGGAATCCTTCTGTGTGAGGTACCCAAGGGAGACCTAAATCTTCTGTTTTCACCCACGCAATGATATTTGTCATTTGAGTTGCTTGATAATTACCATGAACTACCAGTATAACGCCTTATAGGGCGACAAACGGAGCGAGCGAGAGGGTGAGCCTTGCACGTGCGAAATTGTGAGGGGGTACCTACAACTGACTTGTGCACGGCACCTTTCTAACCGGTCTCTAGCAAAGTTGCCAAATATGAGCGCAATCGGCCTAGCCGTTCTCGAGACCTGGAAGTGGCACCCTGCACGTGCGCACGTGCAAAATGGGTCCTAACTGACTTTTGCACGGCACACTACTAACCGGTCCCTAACCATGTACCAAATTTCAGCGCAATCGGTTCAGCCGTTCTCGAGATATGGAATCGACCCCTGCACGTGCACACGTGCAGCAGCACCCCAACTGTGGCATATGGATATGCAATGCCTAGTGGGTGCCTACCTACATGCCAACGTTCAGCGCAATTGGCCCAGTAGTTACCGGCATGTTGTAATTGTTACAAAACTGACACCTCTTCGTTTTGCACGTGGCACGTGCATAAGGCGTCACCCACATGCATCGGGAGTAGTCCAATACTTGGTAGAAGGAATGAAGCTACCCTACAAAAATTACCGCATGTAAATCGATTAAGTGGTTGCTGAGATATAAGCCTCGCAAAAGCGTTACAGGCCGGGCCGGGCCGCTCATACTGAGATTTTTCCGTTATATGGTAAAGACTACGCCCGCTTTGCTCGTTCCGTAATGAACGATTTGCGCACTTACTTTCTGCGACACTTTTGGATGTTAACTCGATGTTTGTCAACTTGCGCTTCGGATGTGCGTGGCGGCCGGGTCCTTCCCGAGTAGTTTTGGGCATTGGTGTGCGACTGAGCCGTCAAGAGGCCCGCTGATTATGGCCTTTACAGAAAATTCTTTAAAATGCTATCGTTAGTATTTACATCGCTTGATGAGAAGCTTGCAAATGCCCTCAGATGACACTCTTTATGTGACCTCAAAGAACTCATAACCTTCACAATGACTTTGAGCAAGCTTCTGCTCAGGATCTTCGAGATCCAGGTCATTCAGGCCTTCGTTTCGGTCAGTTAATTGACATTCCCGGAATTTTTTTCCGTCTATGATGGTCAGCCTGCCCACCGTGCGCCGGGTCTGTCTGCCAGTTTCACCGGGCCAGTGAACCGCGGCAGCCGGCGGCGGGTAGCGGCAGCGGCACATGGGAACTGGATCTCCGTCTCGCCGGCCCGCCGCCGTTACCGGCCGGGCCGGCACGTGCCGGCCGGCTCCGTCTCCCTGCGTGAGCGGATCGCTGCTCACGCACGCAGCCGTACACACGCGCGGCCGAACAGACCTACAGGCCGCCATCAGTCGAAGACACCGGCTGACGGCACTTTCACCGGGCGCCGCTCCAGTTACTGGCACCGACAGGCGAAACGGCCGCCGTCCCAGGAGGCTCGAACCAGTTTATAAATCAGGAGGACGACAGCTCACCATGAAAATAACAGCCAACGTCCTTCGAAACTGCACCATATTTTACGAAAAATTGACCCCGCTGACTATCTACAGTTTTCTTTGGCCGAAGCCAAATGTTCCCCGGGACCATTTTATGGCATCCGCTCCGGACCTTGTATGGTCCAAGTCCTTTCTTTGGGTCCGTGTGGAGGGGAGAGGAGAGGAGAGGAAGGCAGGAGAGAGGGAAGAAGGAGGTCGGGTTTCGGACCGGTCATGGCCGCTGTCCCGCTGTGCCAGTTCGCTCCGCCGCCGGCAGACGACCTTCCAAGGCAGTCGGCTGGCTGGGGACGGACGGACGGAGCGGCGTACGGCTGGGGACGGACGGTGTGGTGGAGAGCGGGAACACCGTCACTATTCAGATACATTGTTTCATTATACGTGCTAAACCATTTATAGTTATTAACCTCACGCTTACCTTTTGGCCTTACAAGGTCGAGTAGGAACTAGGATAAATGCAGCCTTGGCATATTGGCATTGCCTAAAGTTGAAATAAAGTTGAAAGAAGTTGACGCTAACGCTGAATAAACGTTTAGGTCTGCAAATTTAAACAAAACAATCATTGACCTTATTCTGGAAGGGTTTCATTAAATCATTAATAGGTGATAAACAAAACCCTCTCATTACCAGAACCTAATGAATAAAACATCTAAGTAGCATTTAATGCACAATTTCCATGCTATTAATTTCACATGCGTTATTTGATCATGCGATCAGTGAACTGACATTGACATTGGCCTCGATATTGCACCTTTGTCCGACTCTTTAGATATTCATCAAAACAACGGCGCAGGCTGGACATACTAACTTGAATGCTATACTACATTTTATTTGTGAGTCACGTAGTACCTCTGTATTACAATGTGCTGCAGAAAGCCCCCAAAAGGGCAGTGTAGGATGGAGCGTCAGCGCTCGTGGCCCGTAGCACAGTAGGACGAACGATGATGCGCCTGGATTCGCTGTTCCAAGGTTATTCAAAGATGTTTCATATTTTGTCATAGGGAAATGACATTTCTCGTGACAACAGTTTGAAGTGAGCGAAAGTTTTATCTTATAGAACAAAAATATTTCCATTTTTATCAGCACAACTTTAATTCCTTTTCCGTTCTGTGTCGTCCATTGTGAATGAATCATGAAAGTTGGGCAGCGAAGCTTTGGTTCTAAAGGAGTCGATTACAGTCACAAACCAACAGAGGCCTATAGTCTGCCTATTATCTTGCAAACTGCTAAAGTTCGATGTTTTAAATACGGTATCCCCGCCTTACCCTCATGTGGGGCCCGCCGTTGGTGGGTCCTCTGTCCGATGCTCTCCGGTCGACGGCTGCGCGGCAGACACAGAGAGCGCTCTGCCGCCGGCGACACCAGCGCGCGCTCGACCCTGCCGTGTCCCGACTGTTTACACTGGCGTTCGCAGGCCATTGGTGCCCTCCGCAGGCCATTGGTGCCGCTGGTGGTGTGATGGTGCAGGCCCGAGGTATGGGTGCACGCGCTCAGACTGGTGTACCCGGGAAGGGCGAACAGGACAGGACAGGACAGGACATGAGCGCGGACGGGACAGAAGATCAGACAGAGAGCCACAGAGAGGGTGGAAATAGCTGATTGTGATTTGACGGAAAAGCAAGTCGGACGGAGAGGCCAGCAGATTGGAAAGGTGATAGTCGGCAACAGTTCATGACTCACGAGGACAGGTCAGGAAAGACAGCCAGCGAAATGTCCGACGTGCGCCAGATTTTCCGAGCATAGCCCGTGTCGGACAAACCACAGACCGCCGTCTATACAGGACTTACACTGCACTGGGGACAGAGGACAGCCGCCGGCCCACTAACCCTGCCTGAGCGCGGCAGATCACTGCGGCTCTCTCACATGCCGTCTGACATCCGACAGCAGTGTTTGACATCTGCAGGGAAGCTGGGATAGGAAATCCCTGGCTTCTCAGGAAATAACCGGCCGAAACCAAAACAGTCAGATGCTAATTCCACGTGAAATCTGCATATGAAATGGAATACCAAATGAAAGAAAGATGGGGTGATTCCTTCGTACCCCGAGGCAAGTCGTACAAAAAAGACGTTTGCGATTATAATCGCCTAAAAAAACTGGCATGAAACTGCTATTTAATTATAGTTCTTTTGATTTCAAGCGATAATAGAAACTCGACAGAATTTTCTCAGTTGCTCGAGGTTTGTTGTTATCTCGTAAATGTACAAAAAAAAAAAACGTGACAATCGAGCGAAAAGCGAGGTAAAACATCCACACAACAGTCCTACGGATTGCGGGTCTACGGTTGGACGGTTAACTACGGATGAAAAAGATGAAGGCAGCCCGTGTGATCCTTATCTGTTCATTAGAAACAAAACAAGCATACAGACCCGTTGAGTTTGTCGACTAACACGAATGCATATTGCATACTGAGTAGGAAGAAGCAGATAAGTGCTTCCCTCGAGCGTTGAAAGTGGGGGCAGTCACCGAAGAATCAAATCGATAGGGGAGAGGCGCTTTAGGTGAACAATCCTTTCTTAATGAATTTGTATAGCAGAGGACATAAAGTCCCTACTCTTGTTGCACTGTCCGTAAACATAACTGGTGTTCCCTGTTCATCAGTCTCCAGCATCCTAAACTCCCCTAACCCCTCCCGAGCCAGGCACCCAATCCGTTATGCTGGATTCACGGGCGCCTGGCCTGGATCGCGGCCGGCTGCTGGTGAAGAGCACCAGCTCAGGGTGACTGGCAGTCTCTCTGGTCTGCCGGGCGGCCTGACCGACTGAGTCTGCCGACTGGAAATCCAGGTGGCACCGTGCAACAGCCGCACGGCGCCGCTCCGGGTGTGGATCGGCAACTATTCCAACTCCGGTATGGGGGAGCACTGCAGAAATCCCAGCGCTGTTGGCTGTGCTCATGAGGCTCTTCTAGCACCGCTATGCGCTCTGGTCCAGCGGAGCACTAAAAGGCTACTGGATGCAGTTTACTGACCACTTTATTGGTACAAATTGAAAGAACGTGTCGCCAGAAGAAAGATGACACAGCGCTTAAAATGACACCATTTCGATCATTTTTCAATTGCGTCAGAGTGTTCTGTCAGGTGTGCGATGACGGTAGAAAACGGCAGAAAATGGTAGAGAGGAGGGACGGTATCGGTGGGAGCGGGACAGATGGAGCGCACCTCTCACTGGTACGGCCGTTGCGCCATAAAAAGACCTGGCTTCAAGCATGTCACGCACCGCTTTGGGTCGCTATATCGAAATACCATGCCTCTAATACGGTCACCGTCGCTGAGTTGGGCAACCGAGCCAGGTCATTCCAAATCGGCGTCATTGCGGCCAAATCACGGCGCAACGCGAACGCGATTCGGGCTGCCAGATAATTGGGACTGCTGTTGAGAGCATTTGATCTTCAGCCTTGAATACGACTTTTGATTCCTCTTTGATCAAAATAGAACAGTTTTATATGTAAAAAGTATGCATAAATAACCTTATGCTCATTCTTTGCACTTTTTTGTTTGGGAGTGTTTATAATGTCTTTCGTCCAAGAGAGGCGCATTTCAATTTTCTCCCATTGACTTATAATGGGGAGGTCGCAAAATTGACCTAACCTTAGTTCATCGATATCAAAATTCTGAGATATACATTTTGTACATGTATTGCTCTTAGCAATCGCTGAAACTTTCAAAGCGATCGGTCAATCGTGTTGCTATGGCAGATATTGAAACTTTGTATGAGGTGAGTTCACTTCAAGTGACCTGGTGACCTGACCTTAAATGACCTTGGTCTGAAATTTTCACATGTGTAGAATTGATGTATGCCGTTTTTGAGATATTCGCGAAAAACCACAGCGGGGTGTTCAAACACCCCCCAGCAGGGCGCGGGTTAATAAACGTAAATCCTCTAGGCATTTGCATGGGGGATAATCTGTATTTTTATATGAGTTATGCTGCCAAATGAGTAGATCGTAATAAAGTATTAAATAGGAACAATGAGAAGCAGTGGAATTGATTTTCATACGAGAGGTCACTGTAAGTATCGCTTCAATAAAAGAGGATTGACATAGCTGTTGTAAAGGGCTTCACTAAAAAACGCCTTCGAAAGATAAAGCAAGGCCATTGACTATTCCCACATCAATCAGTCAGAGCACTGAGCACGCCATCAATTTCTGACTGAGGTGAAACCCGAAAACACACATTCCTGCTCTGGGGTTCGGCGTCCGACTGAGCTGCTCGTCACCGACCCGCGGCGTCCGACTGAGCGGCTCGTCACCTACCCACGGCGTCACCCATTCGTGTCCGAACGGAACGGCACGGTTTCTTCACGGAAATCTCCGAATCATGTAATTATATTAGAGTGAAAGCTGCATTATTCTACGCATGTTAATATAATTATCCTTAATGATCATTCTCAGACCGCTGACTATGTGCAGCGTATCCCATGTCTCTTATGCTGCGCTGCATCGTTTCATTGGCGCACAACTTTTCTGGTAATATTCCCACACGTAATGAGATTCGTTCAAAAATCACTGACAAGACTTATTTAGAAACAATCTCGTGCCTGAAAAGTTTTCGCTTGTTTCAAGAGGGTGACACTACACATAATGCACAATGGTACAATCCAAGAATCTTGATGACCTTGACCTGACGAGTGACACAACCCTGTCCCATATCACCACGATCACACATTCAGGGGATAGCTGGGGAGGAGGGAGAGAACGCCGCGCGCTCTTCTAACGGCAGAAGAGACACTTCCAAGACCCAGATCGCATGATGGGTAACGTTTTGTGCTGGCAACAGAAGAAATGTCCTACTCTAGATACGAACTTTATGGGATTAAGTGAGCAGATGTTTTGCAGGGAGGCCGTTGACCTGGTTTGCCATTTTCGTGGTCAATTTGGTTAGATTCCAGCGCATCTCCAGACAGACAACAACACTAATGCATTCTGATGGCTCCTAAATGTGTGGGTAAATAATTGGTCGTGGAAAATGTGGGTCCTAATGTTAAATGTACCCATATTTTAGCAGCAATGTTCCCGAGGCCGACGCCCCAGCGCCATCGCGGGAACACTCACCTCATTAGCTGAGACATGATCCACGGGAGTGTCGGGTCGGCCCGTCAGGCGGTCCGGCAGCGGCGCCGGCCGCGGCAGCACGCGCTTCTCACCGGCACCGACGGCACACTGGCGCCTCTCCACTGCCGCTGCCGACAGGACACAGGTGACCGCACCGGTGCGTCCAGGGGTGGCCGACCCGCCGTCATGAGCGACTCGGCAGGGGTGGCCGACCTTCTAGTGTCGGTTGTAGCGGATCACTGACTGTTCCCGGCGGGTCGGCAGCCTCACGACTATGACCCGATCACGAGCCACGTCAGCGTGATGTTTGGTAACACATTGCGCGAAAATCGTGCGGTAGTGTTGCTGAGGCAAGCCCGCTACGCTGTGCGGCCAGCGAGTATAGTATAGCTTGTGCTCAATCATCCGGCTCCAGTGTTCACTGTCGTTAGTGTAGCGTGCTACTCAAGCGCGGCATGCTTCTGTGGATTATATTTGTAACGGGTAGGTGACAACCGACTTATCAGTTGTTCTGACGGGAGATGACTCCCAAAAGTGACAACTGACAAGATTGAAGTGTCCTACATACACATTACACAATACATAGGTAGATTGATAATGAATGTCTAAACAGCATTAGTTGCCGACAGCTTTGATTCACCAAATGTCACTGTTCAACTTACTCCAACAGAACACAATACCTACCTAAATAAAAAGTAGATATGAGTCGAATCCGATTCGTTAGACGAGTCGAATCGCAAAATACAATCAATGAATTGTATATTAATTGCTTTATTTCTGTTACTTAAATAAAGTGAACTGAACTGAACCGAATTTATCCCTCGCGGGGCCGGGGGGGGGGCGTTTCCCCCTGGCGAATATTTGCGATAGCTCCCGAACGCTTAGGGATAGGGAAGCGAAACTTTTAGTACCTTTTCTCCCATCAATTTGACATTTCTCAAGTAAAAAATTTGGACCTAGTCCCCTTGATGACGTCACAGGGTCGATTTTTTTTATAGACCCCTGCACGGCAAACTTTGGCGTCACAGACGCGAACTTCAAATGGCTGCTAAAATAGAGTTTTAGAGATCAAGACAAATTACGAGCACGGTTGTATAGAGTTTGACCTAGTGAAGAATAAAAAAAATTGGTGGCCTGAGGTCAGAGGTCAGGTCAATGACCTCGAAATGTGGTTTTAGTTTTTCGCAAATAACTTCGACAAAAATGACCCTAGAGCTAAGGCAGTGGTACCATCGCATTCGCCTTGTCAAGCCGCGTCGAATGATACATATTTTGTTTGGAAAAGGTCAAGCTTTATGTTCACCTCATGTGACCTCGAATGACCCTTAATTGACACATGAAATGTCGTTTATGATGGATTTGTGCCCGCTGATCACGAATCTGGCATATTTTCCTCTAATCCTTCATTACATTTTCGGAATCCTCAGATTCTCTTCTTTCGTTGACACCCAATTTTGCCGGTTTTATGCATCCTGCCGTCCTCTAGAACGCTTACTTTGAGATCACTACACATGTGCCGGGTTTTTGCCTTTGACCTTGACCTCTGACCTCGAAAATTGGCCTGAAGTCAAAAATGTTAGG